AGAATTTGGAAAGAAGAGATACCATTACGCGAGCCTCGCGGTGCATTTTTATAGTTGACGATTGTTAACAATTCTAATAACGAGGTGCGAAGCTCGAATAATTGTATGTTCTCTTCGCAAATTGTCCATTTTTGTTTACAAGCTGAAGGAAAATTAGGGAAAATTTACGGTACTCGGAACCTCTTTGAAAATTATAACAATTTATTTGAATTGTTTTTAACGTTGGCGACCACGAAAAGAATTTCCGCAAAAATTGAAATTGGTTAAAATGGCAAAAAGTACGAACCTCTTATATTTTTTAATATAATATTGTATTTTTTAATTTTTTTATTTCAGTGAGTAATTAAGCTTTGAGCACTGCATTTTGTAGATCTCGACGTTGTATAATAGATCTCGACATTGCCATAAGTAGACAGGGAATTTTTATGTGAAATCAAAATTTTTCGAGCCTGTTGTAAGAAACAGAAATTAAACAAAAACAAATTGTCACTTTTAATCATTTCGATAGGTTGAAAATGGTGCAACAATATTATTGAATTCTGCTTATGTCTTCGTAATTTCATATTTCAGCTACTCTCTTTTACCATATACATTGCATAAAATCCGCAGTCTAGCTACAAACAATGAACCCTCGCACTGCGATTGCCGAGTAATTTTGATCCAGAGTATTTTTAATCGTTCACTGAATTACTCAAGTTTCGACAATTAAATGAAATCGCTGTTACATCAGAAACAATGGCAAGGCTAGTACGTTCGCAAGAAATATCTTCAAAAATATGTTTCAAAAAATTTGCTGAATGAAGCAAATGATCTCTCAGAATTGTTATAAACATCGTGAATAGTACAGTTGTGAAAATGGATTGAAGATAATGAAAATAGCAGGTTTTCATTGCAAATGTCCCAATATTTTCATGACCGACTGCATGTCTGAATAATTCTTCTTAAGGAACAATATTGGAAGAATCAGTCACTGGATGACGCATCGCTGACCAAGATCACTGAGTTATCACCAACTAAACTGTCCAGTATTAGTAGAGTCGACATTTCATATCAAAGCAAAAATTTTTGCAAATCTCTGCAGAAAATGAGTGATGATTAGACTGCGGATTTTATGCATTTACAGGAAAAACGTATAGGTGAAGCATAGAAGTTAAGAGGAACTAAGGATGTTGATATGTTAAATATTAATAATTAAAATTATTTAACAAAGAGATAACATTACATTTGGCTCCTACATCTTGCAACTGATGCAGGCAATTTTTAATCTGCCTAAAGATCCGCAATCTAATGATAATATTTCGATCGACGCGATAAATAATATTGTTGCACCACTTTCAACCTATCGAAATGCTTGAAAGTAACAATTTGTTCTTATTTAATTTCTGTTTCTTACAACAAGCTCGAAAAATTTTGATTTCGCATAAAAATACCCTGTCTACTTATGACAACGTTAAGATCTACAAAGTCCACTACGAAATGCATGTGGTTCAAAGTTCAATTATTCACTCAAATAAAAAGAATATCAAAAATACAATATATTAAAAAAATATAAGATGTTTTTACTTTTTGTCGTTTCAACTAATTTGAATTTTTGCAGAAATTCAATTCGTGGTTGTTCAGTAAACTAGACCGGCTAACGCGACAAATATTTACCGACGAATTGTAAGCAACAATTTTTGCACATTTCTTCGGAGAAAATGAACGACAATATTTGGATCGGCGCGATGGTAAAAGGGCGAGGAAAATTGGCGAAGAGAAGATGGTTGACCGCGGCGTTCTAGATCGTCGGGGCATTAGATGCGGCTCGCGTGGAATACCGATTCTCCGTAATTTCTCCGGCGATTCCATACAATTACCGCTCCGAACGAAACCGTTAGCCCGCGAAAGCACCGTCGAGGAGATTGCTACGTCACTGGGGGATTCGAATCGATCGTCTTAGTACGTAGTACGTACCTGTGCGAAACGAGCTAGCAAACTGAAACCCAATCCCCCGGTTCGCGACTAGTTCCACTCAGACAAAAGAAGAATCCTCGGCAACGTTTAATTCGTCGCTGCTGACACCGCCGTCGAGTCTCAATTACTGAAACATCGTTCTCTCGCACGCGTTTATCGCCGCTGACAAATTTCTCTCCGAATCGTTCTCCTATTTCTTGCAACAGGCGAGTCCTGTTCCTTTCCTACGTCGATACAATAAATTATTATAATTTAGGATAATTTTGACACTATGGTCCATCCGGTGACACCACGCTGGTGCCATGCAAAAATTGTCTTTTGTATGCCGGTGGTACCACTTTGGTGCCATTTTAAAAAACTGAAATAACATTCGAACTATATTTCTTGGGTGTTAAAAGGCAACAAACTAACTATAGCATTGTGCTTATTTAACACGTTGAATGCCACGGGGGTCACCGGTGACCGGCACTTAACTTGACAGTGACGCCATGGGGGTCACCGGTGACCGGCACTTAACTTGACAGTGACGCCATGGGGGTCACCGGTGACCGGCACTTAACTTTTGATAGAAATATATATAA